GCCCACTGGGGCTGTAGTGCCAAAGGGGGAAAAAAAATCAAGCTGAGTTCCTTGTTTTGGAAAACATATATAGCTTTACTTTTATATATTTCCATCTACTAAATATTACGGCTTTTGTTACGAAGCTGCAGAATAAATTTGAAACAAAATAGAGGAATAAGTGTCATACGCAGGGTACGTGTTCGCCGAGTGAAGGATAGTAGATATCCGAAGATAAGCATAATAGCGGCTATCTCTGTATGGTTGGGATGTTAATATCCCAGAATACATTGAGAAATGTTGTGAATGAAGTTATGGAACACAGAGGACTCTAAGAGGTTGAATGGTAAAATAGACAACTGTGTAAAGAAAGACTCTGCGTGGGGTGACGGCCGTATAAATCCCTCTCGAGTAATGACGTGTGAGGTGTTTGCTAGCGATAGAAATTCCTCACATGCCTTGTTATAAAAACTTAACAGTTTCTGAGAATGAAAAGTACGAGTCTTGAATTATTTCGATTTTTGATCGTCCACGTGTACAAATTCCGTGTTCCTATCTCGACATTAAGCCAGTACTGAACTTGTAGCTATACAAAAAATGAAAATTATGTTTAGAGTTTCTCATTGTATTAAAAAATTAAAGTTAAACCTCTCAGTGCTACAATTAATATAATTTCAAATTTGAAAGAAAAATTAATATAGAATTTATAAATTATTAATGCAGTCAGTAACATTGTATGTTTCAATGTTTCAAGTTACATTCACCCATGTACGGTTTGAACAGTTACTGTCTCTGCTTGCCTGGAGATGTCTGATGTTGCTAGCTGAAGAACAGACATTTGCAACAGTCATCGCTGTAAGCGAAATTCCTTCAATCATTTCTATTGATGGGGATATGCTGACAGTACCTTTCTGACACTTTGTTCTTATGTCAGCAGCGTAGATCGAGATGAAAAATTAAGGAGATGACAATATGTAATATTTCAGGTTTTCACGTCGGTGGCCATGAAGAATGCCGTTTTCTGGGATGTGGCGCCATACAGATATTTTGTTAACCGACGTTTCGGATGAACGTCGGTTAACAAAATATCTACATGGCGCCAGTCTACAGACACCTGCTCACGCTAGTTCATCGTTCGCGAATTTCTTATACCCTGAAGATGGAGGCGATACGTTCCTCCGAAACGTTGGTTAACAAAATATCTACACGGCGCCACATCCTAAAAGACAGCATTTTTCGAGATGGCAGTACTTTAAAAGTAATGGAATTTCCTTATTGATACTGTGTTACTGTTCTAGAGTAGAGAGCAACTTCACGTATATCCCAATGGCACAGCAGAAAAACAATTTTCCGAATTGTTTATAGGTTGGAAATGAATATAACTGATTTCTGCAGTAACTTCAGGAGTGTAGTTATTTCAGAAGATTTTGGGTTGACGAACGAACACGCAGTTCGTCTACTTGGTGTAATTTTGTAATTCCCGTTACAAAGTCGAACCAAAATGAAATTTTATTTTAAGATATTATTTTAACTTAATAATTTATTATTCCGATGGCCATCTACATCATTATTATCCTCCACGGATACGTATGTGAGAGTGAAAATGGCCAACGTTATGACAGTAAATTAGAGCACACATTAGGGAATTGAATCCAACAAAAATTGAAGCCCATTTGCAACTATTATTACCCAGTAATTCCAAGAATGGTTACTAGCACCGGATAACATTTGCTTCTAGATGAGAAGGTTGAGTTGAGTTGCAGACGTTGGCGATCCTGTAAGGTATGACTGATGATAGCGAAGAGTAATTGATTAGACCTTCATCTCAGTGGTATGGTAAAAATCGTCTCTGATCACCTGGTATGGGGTGACTGCCTCTTTTAGTATGATGGATGAGGCACGAACTGAGGAGGCGCGCGAGATTATATGCGGCATGCTGATGGTCTACAGTGTGAACATTACAATTCATCAGTACCCTCTCTGATTCCATATGTACTACGAATTCAGAAAACACTGGCTCCAAGTTCCTATGAGAATGCGGGAGCGATACTAAAACTAAAAGCATCTGACCCGTGGTGTGACTTTGCTTTCATAGTGGTACCTAGAAATGGTAATTGAAATAGGCGACATCAACTCCTGCTCTAATTTACCGACCGTTCGTCTTTGACAATTATTACAGAGTAATATTGCCTTTCAAAATTATAATTATTGTATTTATTTATTCAAATCAACTTTTAAGTAAGGGACTGCAAAAAATTTTCAATTCACAGCTTAATTTCTTCATTTATATTTGGTATTTCCTATCACCCAAATTTGTATTATCGTTAAGAATCTAAGCGGCATCTAAACTGCTATTTTTATTAGTTCCTCATGTCTCAGAATACGTATGAATGCAACAGAATTCCACAATGTATTATATATATATATATATATCGACCATATTTCTCTCTCTGTAATAAACTTAAATTCTACGTATTTGTCTTCTCCATTTTCCTGCAAAAAAAAAAAAAACGGAATCCTGGCAGTATATTTCTTATTGTTGTTCCTGTTTGTGTTAAATAGACCGCCTCTATGGTTTAGTGGTGAGAGTTCCTGGCTACAGATCCAGAGGTCCGGGTTCAATTCCCTGCACTACCATTTTTTTGTGAAGTAGTGGGTCTAGAACGGGGTCCACTCAGCCTCGTGAAGGCAATTGAGAATCTATTTCAAGGAAATAACGGCTCCAGTCTAGAAAACCGAAATTAAGGGCCGTGGGGATTCGTTGCGCTGACCACGCGACACCCTCTATCCGCTAAAGTTGGCACTAACTTCGCCGACAAGTGGCAGTCGCTCGGTCGGTATAGTTCGCTTGCCGACTAAAACCACGGATTTTTTTGTTTTTGTTTTAGTTTGGTGAAATAATTTTGTTACTCAGTTTTTGATGCAACAGTTCAATGCAATAATGCAATAATAAGCGCTTTATAAATGAATCAATAAAATTTCCAAATTATCATCAATTAATATGATTCCTACACCAACTGCAGCTTAATTCTCAGCTCATGCAGTGTATTTTTCTACCAGAAATCGTTGAGTCCTGCTTCCAGTGCACTATCAATTAAGCAGTTAATATACTGCTTTAAGAAACTTCCCTTCTCCAGATGCAAGGCGGCCAGTCTAGGTATGCTTTCTTGTTTAAAGCTACGCGAAGCAGATTTATTGCATGCTGCATACGGTTTTCTGTTCTAAGCATGTGCAGTGTGAAGGAGTATCGCCACATCCTTCTTTTCAATTGCCCTGCGTGTGCACGCCTCACCGTAACAAGGTATTCTGCGAGACAGTATTTCTTTGAATCGTCAGTCAGAACTGTCAGACAAGAGAACACACATTCCCGGGTAAAATCCGTATTCAGTACCAGAAGTGATTATATCATCCACGTTGTCAGTTTCTTTATGTCCTGGTTGCACAATGGGGCTGGTGACATAGGCCTGGAACACAGTACAGTGTTCACTGCAAGACTGTACCACACCACCATAATGAAATAAGACTTTTAGGTGATTGGTGACTAGCGTCTATGTTACTGATACACCCAGAAAAACGGCCAACACGTTGTAGAAACAATCAGACATGGTCCTGTATTTCATTCACGAAATATTTAAGATTATTGAAACCCTTTGAGGTATTGGACATAGAGATCATGAATTTATAAATAAAAATGTTTTCATAATTTTACCAAAATTAGGAGCTTTGCGAAATATATTTTATTCTTCATATTATGCTATAATTATATCTTGGTTCATCTGTGGTCACATACCTTCATATATTAACATAGATCCGTTATAAAATTGTTGTGTTGGACATTGTCCGTCGCCTTAATTATGTTTAAATTATAAGGCGTTTCGGAAACTGGATCTGCTTCTTCTATCAGACAGAAAATGATCATATTCAGTTTAGCCCCTTAGACAGAGATAATCTTGGACACTGGGCAACTGGCTCTGTGTAACAGGCTAAAAGAAGTAGGTAACTTTCCTTTTTACACCATATGATGGAAGCAGGTCCATCTTGCTGATTGTGTAAATTAAATATGACTAAGACGATGGACAATGTTGCACATATCAGTTTTATAATGATTAACATACCATTCTCACAAAGCATTGGGATATCCTTAATACGGATATAGTCCCTCGTTCTTGCTTTCATCACATTGATCATATGTGCCTGAATAAATACAAGAGGCAGAGACAGTGTATGGTGAATAATTAAATTCCATTTCATGGTATTGTACGAGTATATATACCAGTTATGCTGATACTGACACCACCAAGAAAACTGACCCACATTTTTAGGCTTTACATGTTTCCTTTAGAAGGAATATTAAGTAGGAATTGTCCAGTATGCAGACATACATTTTTGCTAGTTTTCTGCTTTGCAAATATTAATTGAAATATATTACAGAACTTGTTTCCAGACTTTCAAAGTATGATCTCAAGATTGTACCTACTACATTTAGTGATGTGACGCTATGCAATCTTGTGAACATATATCGACGTTTCGGAGTAACGTAATATCTCCACCATCATGGTTGAAGAGTACGCCGTGCAAGCAAGCATCGCCGTTGACATACTTTTACAAGACAACACGGCGTCTCACCAGACACTATGGCATTCTTCTGTCACTGTCATAAGAACCTCAGTACACAATGCAGCATTTGAGGTTCTCACAGCGGTGATCATGAAGGGTTCTGTCTTCTGGGATATAAGGTCATGTAGTCCGTTGAAAGTCAACCGACATTTCAGTGTAATAATTCGCCTCCGTCTTCAGATCGAATACCAAGCCATGCAAGAAACCAACGTGAAACAGATAGTGAGATTGGAGGCGATAAGAAGCTCCTAAGGGCTGGTTGAATTTCCACGGACTACACGGCGTTATGGCCCAGAAAATAGAATCCTAGTTTAAAATATTTCATTTGTTAGAGCTTTCAGTTTTCTTCCTTCGTTTTCCCGTATACATTATAACTGGTAGGATATTCATGTTGTTCTGCCTGTTTAGCGAATTAATTTCTTACGTTTCTTGTAATATAATAATTCTCCTAGGAAAATTATGAAAGAGAGACAGTAACCTAACTGTAGCAGGTAGAAGGCGCTTTGTAAGTGAGTAAGTAAAAGAGAGTTGTAATCTTCCAGTAATTTGATCCGCACCTCAACTTGAGCTTTAATCCTCAATTTATTAAAAATATTGTTCCACCAAAAACCGGGCAGTCCTGCTTCCAGGGCTGTATCAATTAAACGGTTAATATTCTCCGTTAAAAAACTTCCCTTCTCCAAAAACATGGCCATCCGTTTAGCCTTGCATTCTTGTTTGAAGGTACATACGACAGATATGTTTTGTGATACATATGTTTTCATATACTCGACAATTATACTGTCAGTGACTGTTGCAAAACCTTTCTTTTCAATCGCCCTCCGTATGCACGTATCACCATAGCAAGGTATTCGATGAGAAAGTATTTCTTTGATTCGCCAGTCAGAAGTATCAGGTAAGAAAAGAGTGATCCCTGGGTAGAATCCATATTCAATGCCAGAAGAAATCAAATCCTCCACACTGTCGATTTGTTTTTGGTATTCCGGCTGCACAATGTAGCTGGTGACATAGGCCTGGAACACAGTGTTTACTGCAAGACAGTACCACACCAGCATAATGAAGTAGACTTTTAGATGATTGGTGACTGGCAACTTTGTTACTGATACGCCCAGAAAAACTGCCCACACATTGTAGAAACAATCAGACATGGTTCTGTAGGGACCAACATCCATAATAATATCCTTGTGAAAATTTGACAGCGAATACATAAGTCCAGCAGATATGATTATGAAAACGAATAAAAGTAACCACATAGGCGCCGAAAACACTCTGGTGATACTAGTCCACTGGTGAAACGGTTCAGCACAAGGAACTATCCAAAGTAAACCGGAAAACTGATAAACATGTGTAGAGTCAAAGTAAATTGATTTATTTAAATTAATGGTTAATGCGGAGAAAGATATGTCAGCATTTTTATCAATTAAGTCACCCAGAACTCCTGTCCACGAACCATTCTCCAACTTAACGGGCCATATTTCTTTTGTGTTGCGTGGAAATCGGAAAGCAACCGACATATTCATCACTTCGGCTATAAACAGAAAGAGGCGCATATCTGTACCTTCGTCGTAAATAGTTACATTTTGGTCATCTGTTTTCTGTTGAACGACATGACAAAGGGTTCCTTCGGCACTACGGCTGCTGTAACGTTGCATCCATAGAGATTAAGCGGTATCTTTGGTGGGAAGAGAGACAAATTCCTAAGGAATCGGCCTCCTCCTTCCATTATCCATTGATCCAAGATAACGGTGCCCTTAACTTCCCCGCACTTCCCGGATGGAAGTTTATAAGGAAACCATGTGTATACATCCACCGCACGAAGCCGACCTCTCGATGGAATCAGCACTATAACGTTGAACACTTTGAAGAGTAGGAGTTCCTTAAAAATTTGTTGTGCTGTATGTCCAGGTTCGGGTAAGATTTCATCAACAATAATTATAAAATGTGCTCTGGAATTCCATGCGTTTGGGTAAGATATGAGACCTTTCAACTGTCTGCTTAAGACGGCAGCTTCGTTAGACGTCCAAATTATGTAAAATTTGTTTTTGTCATAGGTTTCCTGAAGATCTCTGTTGTACTTATGCGATCCCGGGCCGGGAAGGGATATGACAATTTGCCACTTCATGGTGTAGTGCAATTTATGCAATAAGTCGCAACTTGTAGTGCCACAACAGTTGTATTCTTGGCTGATATTCCAGATTCTTCGATTGTCCATAAAAGCACTTCTCGGGTACGAGGAGACGGTTATTGGAAATCCTTCGTCGATGTATGAATCGGTGATATTTATGACACACGTTATTAAGTGGCCGGTTTGTTCAACTTGGCTATGTCCTACTGCAGCATGGATTAACATTTGTACAATCCAGAACATCGTATTGTTGGCTGTGTCTGAAAATAATAACATTACGTATTACATTTAATTTTTATCTTCTTATCCTGTTCTAATGAATTTTCCCTCTTATGTCTTGAGGCTAGATAGTAAGGTTAGAATCTCGCAGCAAGGGAAAAGAGGTGATATGGAACTGTGGCCGAAAACCTATCAGAATGATCCAATAACCCGTCAGTCCAACAGAGTGTTATGTCGTCACAGACTATATTAAACCTGAAACAAATTTCGTGATTTTATCCAGAAAATGAAAATTCAAAAGCATAGACTTTTGAGGAAAAAGTATTAAAAACTAAAACGATTTGATTGTCATGATGTACTGTTGATTAGTTTATGTGGCGCAGGAGTTTATACGTCATGTTATATCATACTGTAGTAATTATGAAATGGAGCATTTTGGACTTTGTTTTACGCTCTTATTCATACAAGTCGAGTTTCATGTCATTCTCGTAATTAATATGTGACCATAAACTTCGTAGTAGGGTTTATTGTTTATGCGGCCAATGCCATCAGGCATACATACACATATGCACCACAAAAGGTGGTATTATCTTCTTACTGAATGCGCTTTAAATTAACAGGAGGCATATGCGGTTGGAGTTTACTCACTTATGTCTTATGCTGTTTATAAAGATATGAATTCAGTCATACAGTATGTTGCAGCCGTATTGTAAACAGATGTGTTAGGTGTCCACTTGTGTTACCCTGCCGATGACAGACTAGAGCTCCTATAAGATTTTACTGAACTGGTCTATATGAACATCTTCTAGTGAATGTTTGAAAAAGAAAGTCACACACCATGACATGTCATAAATACACTCCACAATATCAGTACTCACGGAATAGGCACGACACATTGAACTAAAAGACTCTTCGCTCGTTCATGACTTACTGCATTAGTTTTTTACACGTATCATGTTAAATCTCGACAGTTCGTTGCTATAGTAACCCGAAATTACGTAATTAAAGAGCTTTAAGTATTTTTTTGCAATATATATAATGTAGGGTGTAGAGCTGTTACTATACGATGACCGCCAAATAGGCTGATATACCAGGGCCGCCTCTGGGCAACGGCTAGGTAAACACGTTCCCGCTGCAATGAATCGACGCACAACAATGGAGGTACTGATGGAAACGGGATTTTTCTTCATGATCCATGCCGAGGAGTTATAAGGAGGACAATTGGAGCGACCAAGTCAGTTGTGTACAGGAGTCTATAAGCCGGAATAGCCGTTGTAGAAGCCGTTACCAGGAAACGTCTAGTAACAAAGTGAGAACACTAGACTGTGTGCTCCAGTGGGCTTTAAAGTGTGGAAATAGCGATAGTGTTATAGTTATTTGTAGTTACGAAATGTTAGTGGTCAATAATCCAATAACCAACCAAAACCCCGTCTATAGTCACACATACTGCGTTTATATCCTGTATGATTCAATGAGTAAAATATATAAATTGCAAAATGTGAAAGTAAATTCCGTTTTCACAGATAAAACACGCAAAACGTATAATAAGTAAACTTATTACATTTTATTTTAAAATCTATTAACGCTACATGAAAGGCTAATTTCGTAAGCACCCGTTTCTTTTCTTTTAAGTGTATTTATTTTCGTGCTCAAGGCAACCACAAATATTTAACTTACATTTTAAACTAACACGGGTGTGTGGACACAGGTTAAATAGTCCGTCGTCTCTCTAAGGGAGTATTAGCAGCTTGGGACAATATCTAGCGCTATTCCGTTACACCACTTGCTTACTTACTTACTTACTGACTGATGGAGCTGAGCCCTTCTTGAGGAGCGGCCAATTCTGCAGCTACTCAAAAGTATCGCGGAATTTTATGAAACCTGAAGGTTCACAAGAGCCCTCCACTGGTCCCTATCCTGAGCCAGACCAATCCAGTCCATACCATCCCATCCTATCCTTCTAAGATCCATTTTAATATTGTCCACCCACCTACGCCTTGGCCTTTACACCACTGCAGCTCCTCTATGATATGTTCTGTCAGAAGCGTGCGAGATCGCCACGCGTACAGCTTTTGCCCATGTTTCGAGAACTCCGTATTTATAGTAGTCATGACTGAAACGCCGTGCCCATTATCATTATGGCAAATGCTGAAGGCAAAATGTTATATCACTAAATGGATATCGTAAATGTCGTATTGCGTCGAATTAGGTTTAAGACGTCAAAGGGATAATGATAATATGGCGGAAGTCTAGGTAGCTGTCACAGCACAAATGTGGCAAATTAAGAGAATACACCTAGGATTTTATTTCGAAGTAAGTTTATATTAGCGGGGGGAAGAACTTTTCCTTCTCAAAATTGTAGCGTATTTCTTGTTACAAATCGCCTGTTAACTTCGTGTCAACATCCTGCCCGAGAAACGCGCAGAGACCATATATGCCCGCCAGAATATATATTTTAAATTTAAAATATGTAAAATATAATTTCCTTTGTCTTAGTCTTCGAGATTATAAGTGTTTATTTGATAAATCACGAATTTAATTAGAAATTTTAGTATGTTAAAGTGGAATATCATTGGCTAATACACATGTTTATTATGAGTGCGTCTGAAGTTTCCCGCATGTAAATAAAAAACAAACTCCGCAAGCGAACTATACCGACAGAGCGATCGCCGCTTGTCGCCGAAGTTAGTGCCAAGTTTAGCGGATAGAGGAGGTCGTGTGGTCAGTGTAACGAATCCCCACGACCGTTAATTTCGTTTTTCTAGACCGGACCCGCTACTTTTCCATTCAGGTAGCTCCTCAGTTGTTCTGAAGAGGCTGAGTGGACCCCATTTCAGAACCCACTACTTCACAGAAAATCTGGTAGCACCGGAAATCGAACCCAGGATCTCTGGATCTGCAGACAGGAACTCTGACCACTAGACCACAGAGGTGGTCTTCCCACATGAATACTCTGCGAATATACCTTCTTCTTTCCTGCTCCAAATGTACTAATTCGCCTTGACTGCGGGATTAGTAAGGGCTTATGTATGAATGTACATGTTTGTGCCAACAGTTAAAAGCTACTATACTCTAAAACGAAACGAATATGAACTAGATTTTGTGACTCATGCCCTCGTAACCAATCGAGTGAGTTATGTGTGTGTGTGTATGTGTATATATATATATATAAGGAGCCGGAGTATCTGAGTCGATATAACAGCATTCTACAGGCTGGACGGCCGAGGGGCCGGAGTTTGAGTCTCTGTAGGATCAAGAATTTACTTTCCTCCACCTTGTCCAGTCCGGCTACGGGGTCCACCCAGCCTCCTATCGAATGGGTACTTGGGGCTCTTTTCCCGGGGGTAAAGTGGCCGGGGCGTGAAACTGACCACTCACCTCCAACTAATGCCGAGGTAAAGAAATTGTGGATCTATACACACTTTCCCATACGCCTTCTTGGAGTAGTGCTTAATTAGTGTATATATGTATATACTATACACACATAGGCATCGACATGAATATTTTAAGGCAGTAACGTCTGGTAATTTAGATACAATCTTTAAAACTCGAATATATTCTTCTCTACTTATTATATATACTGAACATATCAATATTGAGACCTAACATAAGGGCTCAGGGTTAATACAGATTACAATTGCTTCAATAAAGATGCACTTATTGTCCAAATGATAAAGAAAATTTCACAATTCTTCAGTTTCAACCTCTTAATACGCGTCAGTATAATTTGTTTTTGTGGGGGTTGGAGAGTGCCCGAATGTGGGACATTGGCGTGATCAATCGATTAATCTCATTTGTGAATCACGCCCCTACCATTCTCTTTAGGGGATGTGTACGTGACGTCACAGAGTTTATAGGGTGGTAAAAGGGATTTCGAGTGAGATAGTGGGTAATAAAGAGGCAATTCAGCAGGCAAATGAATCAATGAATCACATGGAAAAGTTCTGTCGTTCTTCTCCCCATTAGCCTCCAACCCAGCCTTTATGCCAAGGAAGGGTTTTTTCGATTTTCGATACGAACTGAGTCATTTTTAGGTTTAACATGAAATGACGCTCGAAGATCACGGATTTTAAATAAAATCGTTGATTTAAGGTATGTATTAGAGCCATATTTGATTCATTTCGATCGGAGATAATTCTAATATTTTTCATCATCAATTAAATTCCATCATATTCTTTCCATCATCATACCCGTCTCATTATACAAATCTCCAGTCTATGTATCTCGGTCTGCTGTTCCACTGTACTTGCCGTTTCTAGTGTGACACTTTATTGACATGCATTATGTAGTAAACTTATGTACAGAATT